GCCGTCGGGGGTGACAAAGGCGGTCTTCGGTCGAGCGTCCTCAGCCATACGTACTTGTCAGTACCCTGAGCGCAAATCAAGGGATGAAAAGAATTCGGCTCCTTGCAGGCTGTCAATCGCGTCATCTACACGCGGTAGTGGGTACACGTCCTTACGAGTGATCTTGTTGAGGCGTCGGTAGTCCGCACAGAACCGTCCTTCTTCGCGACGAGAACGACAGGAGACGCCCAGGGGCTGTTAGAGGGTCGAATAACATCTCGGCGAAGCATGTCGTCGACTTGCTCGTTGATTACACGGCGTTCTGTGGGAGATACGCGATATGGATGTTGCCGTAGTGGTGCTTGTGTGCTGTGTCGATGCGATGCGTAACAGTGAATGTGCGGCCGAGAGAAGGTTGAGCAACATTGAAAAAAGAGCGAAATTCTTCCAACAGGCCCAGAAGCTGGGAACGCTGGACCGGCGTAAGGTTGTCGGGAATGGAAGGACCAAATACATCGGCGGATGATGAAACAGATGTAGAAACAGCACTAAGCGTATTGGAACTTCGGCAGTGCATGTCATCGGGTTGATCCATGACTTGTGCATCTTTGATGGGTTCCACGCTGCCGAGACATTCCCCTCGCACCAACGTAACACTGTACGAGGATGAGTTCAGAACAAAAATAATGGTGCTGTTGTGAGTGACTTGCACGGTCGCAAAAGTTACCAGTAAGCCTTTTCTGGTGAAAACACGATGAGATGGCGAGAGGAGTGCAGCGGTGTCGGAAAGACTTTCGCTGTAGACCGACACCGCCGCGGATGAGTTTGCAGGCACTTGCGTGTCGTCTTTGACGAGTAACTTGCTTGCAGCAGATGGACTGTCGGCCGGCGTCAAAGAAGAGGATTGTGTGAGCTCTATTTCTGCTGGTGCGCAATGAATGACGGCGTCGTGGCGGGAGAGAAAATCCCATTCTAGGATGACGTTGTGAGAGCATGAAGGAATTATGATGAATTCGACGGCATACATCACGTCCTGAATCGTGAGGCGGGCTGTGCACATCGCTGTAGGGTGAATGCTTTGGGCGCTGGCTGTACGGAGGGAGAGCCCGGAAAGTGGCGTGGTCACTTTACGCAGTAATCAGCTAAGTTTTGCGTCTATGACGGATACGGCGGCTCCAGTATCTACAAGGGCAGATGCACAAACACCATCCACAAGCGCATCTATCACATTCGATGGCCTTTCCTGAGGGCTTCCGCAGTTCGACAGCGTCGCAGCCCTTGCCTCGTGGACTGCGACGACTAGTTTTCCTGGTCACCCTCGAGTGGACGTGGCCGCATTGGCGACAGTGAGCGACGTCGCGGAGAAGGTGAATGGCGGGTAGATGGAGCAGGGCAAGACTACGGTGATGTAGGCGGCGGTTGGTCATAAAAGCGGCTCGATTGGCTGGGAAAATTGGAGGCGACCTGCGGCTGCTACACACGATTGATATAGCGTACTACGTGACCGATGCAACCATAGGCAAAGCAGATGGGGCGATTGTCAGAAGTGCCCTATCGGTTCGCTGGTCCCATTCATGTCGCAGAACGCAATGGGCGAGCCGGCTGCTGATATAACTGCATAATGGGCGGCACACGGGGCAGGTGGATGATGTCGGCATATGTAGGCGGCACAATTTCTTCGAAGTCCTGGGGCCTGGCGATGGTTTCGGTGTAACCAAGGGGGTCAGTCGCAAAAATCGGTGGGGGCGGCCTGGCGACAACTTAGGCGTAGCTGAGTGGCGCAGATACAGGAGGTGGCTGGTGGTATTCAGGAACGACCTCCGCGATTTCCTGCTGAATGGCTCGGTGGAGGGAAGGCAGAAGTGTGCTTGACGGCTGTTGAGCATGTTGCGGGGAAGCAAAAGCCAGTAAAGAGACCTGGCGGCAACTTCCTCACACACGAATCACTTAATTTCAGCGAGCAAGGTGGTGTGGTCAGGAAGTGTTGACAAGGCCGAGAGATTAGCGTCACGTGAGGACGGTCGACGGGTCATCGAGCGCTGCCGCCGCATCTCCTCGTAACTTTGGCATAGTGTAATGATCTCTGCCACAGTGCGGGGGTTCTTGGCCAGGACCATGATGAAGGCATCGTCGACGATGCCTTTTAGAACATGGGTAATTTTGTCAGCCTCTGACAGGCTTGCGTCCACTTTTTTGCACAAGTCAAGGATGTCCTCGATGTAACTTGTGAAGGACTCACCGGTCTGCTGTGCTCGTTCACGTAACCGCTGTTCGGCTTGCAGCTTACGAATGGCAGGACGGCCGAACACGTCGACGACGGCGGTTTTAAAAGCGGACCAAGTGGGGAAATCGGATGCGTGGTTGTTGTATCACATGCCGGCCACACCCGCGAGGTAGAAAACCAGGTGATTGGGGACGCTGACGCATTCGTACATGGCCAGCCAGTCCTCGACGTCGATGCCATCCGCGCCGGTGAAGACAGGAGGGTTGCGGATGCGGGGGACATTGGAACATGGCATCGGCGCAGAAGGAAGCGTTTGCTGAGTGGCATCTTGGTGCATGGTAGAAGGCATAGTACGGGATCGAAGCTCCAAGGGCATCGAATGCGAACCGAAGGTGTTCGAAGGGCACAGCACTCTCCACCATATTGTAAAGACGTTTATTGGCGGACACTTGTCGATGATGCTTGACAGTGACAGTCAATGCGGGGACCGACTCTCTGCACGAGCTGCTCTTCTTTTTGCGAAAAGAGCGACCCACTAGAAGGTGCTGGAGAGGACGACCCACTGTTCGAAGGCTTCGCCACACAGCAATCATTACGACAGCCATTCTGATACTAAATAAAACTGTCGCAAAAGCGTCGCAGGGCCCCTTTAATAAGCACTTCACACTATCAGATGCCATGCTATTTCTTTGCTTCATTAATATCACTGTCATGGTGCATGATGCATGCCCACATCTCCCTTCTTTATCACTTTTTTTCAATTCAGTTGGCATTCATGTGTACTACAGCATTATAATCTGCCTTTGTAATAAGCCTTTTGTTGCCAAAGAAGCTCCACAAATCTTTGTTCCCATCTAATTAAAAAATTATGCACATTTAATAAGTGATTCAATATTTAAAGTTCATTTATTTAAAAAAACTTGACCCTTCTCCTAACAAGCTTTCTGGCCAGAAATGATATCAAAATACAAATTTTTATAGGAGGAATTGGTTCTATGTAAGAATGTGCAAATGTCCAAAATTTCCAATATTTTTCTAATAGTGTTTCATATTCAATTCGACTCGCACTGAAATTTTACTATTCAAATCAGTCGAACTTCCTGAAGGCAAATGCAATAAATGTCTGATTGCTAGTGGCCCCTTCAAATTTTGAACCCATCATACTCTCATATTGCAGCAAAGCTGCCTTTCAAGCTCTGCTAAAATCACAAATGTAACCTTAAAAAAAAAACAAAAAAACACTAGAGGTGGGGTACTAATTGATGCTGTTTCAAACCTGAAATTTCCACCTAGCCAAAAGAAACACTTTCATGTTGCTATCTCGCAAGAATATGGTTAGGAATCCTCTCCAACAGTTTTTCCGCAATATTGCTTCAATGTGAGAAAAATGTTCTAGAAATATTCAAGAAATATTAAAAAATTATTTGATTTGATTCACACTCAAACTTTATTATTTGAATTCACTTTGCACTCGAAATTTCGCTATTCGCACAGCTTTAATTCTATGCATGCTCAAGCAACTGTAATATATATGGAAAGATGCTTTACTTGCAAGAGAAAAAAAAAAAAATTGGCTTTTCTGCACTGTACCATAGAGAGTGTCAGAGCATCGCTGGTCCTTTGTCTAAAGAATGCCTCATCAAAATTTAAGAAATAGAGCAAAGTGACAAATGAGGCCATGAAAAGAAATTTTTGAGGTCCCGGTGGTGTTTTGTTTACCCCTATCAGTGTACATTGCTGATATGCGGAGAAGCAGTACTGATCACAACTTGGTGGTTGAGAGAAGATGTACTGCTTGACTGTGTCATGGTGACCGCATTCTAGGAAGCACAAAAATCATTCTTCATTCGCCGAGTCCGACAAAACATCAGTGAACAATCCTCTTTTCCTTCTTTGTTTGTGCGTGCTTACCAACAGCGGTTGTTGGTAAGCCATTATCAATTCTGACTGCCCGAGTCAAGTCATTCCCCAACGAAAATGCTACTTTGAGTGTGTTTTGAAATTTTTGCACAATTATCTGTTAAAGCCAAAAACAACTTGGCAAAGTGGATTAGGGTAGCTTGATTGCCGCACTGTGAAACAGCTGTTTCAGTGTGGACCAGCCTGGCTCGTCTTCGGTAGGGAAGGAGTTAATTAGAAAATTCTGACATTTAAATGTCCCTAAAGATCAAGCGTTTCTGCGCATGACTACATTAAGATGGATTCTTTCTTTATTACCATTCTGACAACCTACTGTTTTGCATGCATTACACACTTGCATTTAGCACACAGCTCAATTATCTCTCACAATAACCAATGGCTGGATTTTAAAAGTGCTGTTGTTGCTGTGTGTGTTGTGTATCAATACAGCCAAATAAGGTTAAAAAGTCAAGGGACAGGATAAGCTTTGTAATAGGAATGATATTCCATATCTAGAGACTTGCTCACAGAATGTGAGATCTACAATTGTGAGGCACTTTACTCTAACAAGTAATATTCAGCTATACAGCTTTCTAGGCTTCATTGGCGGATGAAGGTGGCTGCAGTGACAGAAGCCACAGCAAAAAGCAAATCGAAAAAATTTGAAGCAAGTCCCACCAATAAGGCGTACCATGCTCACGTGAAGACTAACCCAAGATCAGGCTATAATGGTAGACTGCACTTGTGCCGCCCAACGAATGCATATAAGTGTGCTGACAACAGCACATTAAAAAAATGAGATTCTGCAAAGTAATAATATTTTTTCTAATGATGCAAGCCACATGAAATTCATGCTAGTAAGTCACTACATAAAAAGGTTGTTCACAGATAACCTTGCCTTGTTATTTGAAATGTCAAGGTACTGAAGGGACTTGACAAGCTGGCCTTCAAAAAGCTCAGGAGGCAGCCTTTCAATGTTGTTCTGTGAAACAACTAGCTCTCGCAATGGCAGACTGCTCAGCTGGGGAGTCAGTGTCTTCAGGCTGTTAGCAACTAATTTGAGGCTACATAAGTTGTTCAGTGCAAAGATATCACGACCTAGCCAAGTCAGTTGGCAGCCCTGCAGAAGAAAGACATATGTAGGTACAATTAGATTGATACACTGATAACAATGCAAAACCAGTAAAAGCATTGCTGCGTTCTGCATACTATATAAGGTTCTTCATTCATGGGTTAATCTTGATAATTCCCAATTTTCACACTCTGAACAAGTTTTATAAAAATTTAGTTAAGCTAGCTTTCTAATGTGGGCCCATTTATAAAGGACAATAACAAATGAAGGTGTCACTAAACTAATGAACACTCACTATATTTTTAGCAATAAGTGGCCAAGATCATTGCAGTTTGTATGAATATCACAAGACAAAATAACATCACATTTGCTGAACACTGTACATGTAAACAACAGTAATATGCTAGAAGAAAGTGAGGTGTTGACATTCTTCTGCATAGTGAGTGATAGCAGATTTGGAGCAATTTTTGGAGAAGCAAAACTTTCTATTTGGAGCACTCTGGGGCAGGTAATAAGAGTGCATTGCCGAAGGAAGTTGTGCTTCACATTCAAATGCCTAAATAAATAATGCGGAGCTCTTATGAAGAGCCATATAAATGTTTTGATTCATTGCAGATATCATGGAAAAAAATTCTCTCTAGAGCACTCACTTGATAATGCAAAATTGAGAATGTCACGCAGTTGAACACAATGGAATCGCTTCTGCTATTTTTTTTCGACACAAACAAATAAACAGGTATATATGACTGTACTTTATCAAACAACACTTTAAATACAGTTATGTGGATCTCAAAATTTAGGGCTACTGCTACAAATGTATAGTCTAAGATAGTGGAATATTGCAAGTTAGCAAAAAGGCAGACAAATGTGACATACAACAGTGTATTAAAGATAAACACACAAACCAGATGGAAGATCCCAGCCACAGGCATGAGATTCGAAAGGAATCGATCAACTTTCCTTTAGCTTCCCCAGGGAGCATATAGATACAAAGCGTGTGCTTTTGCATGAAGGGAGAGATAAAAATTAGGCCTGCAGCATTAATATGGGGATGGATTACCAACTAAGCTACTTCAACTGCACATATAATGAAGCCATAAATAATTTTGCATATGTGGCTCTCATACACATGTAAAAATTTATACACATTGAATTTACCTTCACACAGAGCATATCCTTCGCTAATGACGGGTCAATGCATGACCCATGTACGACTGTTGGTTTCGATGTGTCGGTATAGCCCACAAAACCAAAATTATTAGTGCAGTGCTCTAACACATGCATCTCGGTCTCATGAGTACAATGTATGACATACTACAGCAGAGCCACCACACCTGCCATAGGTGTAGCATTTTCATTGGGCTAGGGGAGAGGAGGAGAGAGAGAGGCTGCATGCTCTTTTTTGTCTTTTTCCGTTCTCTCGCTCCATATTTACTTAAGTGACCTCCATATAGTAAGTGGACTGTTTTTAGCAAAACATAACCAGGTTCTAGATAAGCGTGTGAAGCACACGGATGTTGTTGCTGTTTTTCAGCTCGTAGATGACTTATGTCTAATAACAGATTTTGATGCTGTCCTTTCAGAAATGCTAACCATGTTTACGAAGTGTTAACTCCTCTGGTGCTGGTGCATGACATGTCTAAAGACAACAGCGTAAGATGTAATTAACAAAAATCTGAAATAATCGAAGTTACCTCAGGGCAGTGTTTTGGCTCCCATTTTATTTTTCATTTTTATAAATGATCTACCCGCATATTAGGACTAACATAGGGCTTTTTGCTGATTTATTGTGTACAAAGAAATTAACTGTCCCAAGGATTACCTAGCCCTTGAAAGTGATCTAAAAACAGTGTTTTGATGGTGTGTGCAGTGGCAGCTGTCATTAAATTTAGATAAATAAGCTTTACTTAGAATAACCAGAAAAAACATTACATCCGAATTTTCGAAAACTATCGCAAACACTCAGCTAACTCCAGCTAAGGAACACAGGTATCTGAAAATCTAAGATGGGAGGCACACATACCGGCATCTGCAATAAAAAGGGTTTTTTTTTTTTTTTTTGAAAAGGCGCCTACATTTAGCACCGCATGCAACACATGATGATGATGATATATGGTGTTAATTGGCGCAAGGGCCATGTGATGGCCAAAGAGCGCCACGAATAATGATGAGGAAAAAGCATTGGTGCGTTATTGAAGTAATATGAACAGAACATGAACAATGATAGTGTTGCACGGCTGTAAAGGGGCTTAAAATTCCACGCTCTGAGGCGGGTTATAACTAAAAAATATTAAAATCGTGGCAGTGACATGAAACATATGGAGGTGGAATAAACGACAATGTTTGTGGAGAGGGCCGTCGCATCCGCGACCTCTGTACAGAGGTCAAGCTATGGATCACATCGAAATATAGCGTGAAAACTACGGACATGTTTTAAAAACCTGAAGAGTGATTGAAGTTTAAAAAGCGGATCCTTACCGATGAGCATCGCAAGGTGTAGTGAGAGCTGCTATCCGTAGGGCAGTAAAAGGTGCTTTTTTCTTAGAGCATCTAAGTTATAGCATTGTAGTACAAGGATGTGGAAAACCATAAGTGGTTTTCCACATCTTTCACACAATGGAGGATCGCCGGAAGACAAAAGATATAAATGTGAAGAATGTGCGTGTCCTGTTTTTAGCCTTGTAAGTATTACTTCTGTGTGTCATGATTTTGATAGTGGTGGCCAATTACCAAGTTGCAGCTTAATAGCATGTAGTTTATTGTCTGTGTGTCTATTCCGTGTGCTCTGCCAATAGCCCATGAGCATCGTTTTACAAAAGGTTTTAAATCAAGTCCAGGGATTGATATTGATGCATTGAAAGTGGTGTCATTGGCAGATGCAGCCAGCTTGTCTGCCAAAATGTTTCTTTGTATCTCACAGAGCCCTGGCACGCAACAGACAACAACATGCTGTTTTGATGTGTATAGAGTGCACAAAAGTGAGTAAAGTGACACTAGGAAGGGCTTTTGTGTTTTTTAGAAGTTTCCAGGGCTTTTACCACACTTAGGGAATCTGTGTAATTACTGCCTTTTGTAGTTTTATCTGTTTGATGTGTTTTACGACCACCAGTATTGCATAAGCTTCTCCTGTGAAAATACTTGCATCAGGATGGAGAGCGCCGGCCTCTGAAAACGATTGGCCTACCGCTGCATATGTGTTGGACTTTGAGGCATCAATAAAGAACTCAGGGCATGTGTATTTATGTTGTAGTTCGAGGAAGTATGTGTGAATGTGTGCAAGTGGTGCGTGCTTTGCGACTTCCACGAAAGAGACATCACAGTCAATAAGCTGCCACTGCCACGGCGGTAGATATGCAGCAGGAGCCATCGAACTCTGTTCGAGAAGTGGTACGCCTGTTTCTTCGGCGAGGCCCCTCACACGGAGCGAGTAGGGCTGCCTCAACGAAGGACGGTACTGGAACCAGCCAGAATTAGACAAATCATAAATAGTGAGATGAGAGGGGTGTTGCTTGTCTGCCTTCACCTTCAGAAAGTACACAAAAGACACGTAACATCTCTGTAGGTGGAGCGATCAGTCATATGAATTTACATACAGGCCCTCCACAGGGCTAGTGCGAAAAGCCCCCGTAGAAAGGCAGATGCCCAAATGGTGCACAGGATCCAGCATCTTTAAAACACTTGGTGTTGCAGATTGATAAACGACGGCCCCATAGACTAAGCGAGTGTGAATGAAGCTTTTGTAAAGGTTCAGCAAGCACTTCTTGTCACTACCCCATGTATTTAGAGCTAACACATTCAGAATATTCATGGTTTTTTTACTCTTAATTTTGATATGCTTAATGTGTGGTATGAAGGTCAGTTTTGAGTCTAATAGTACGACCAGAAACTTTTGTTCGGTCTTTACAGGCAGACGCTGACCCTGCAAGTTGATGCCAGGGTCGGGGTGAAGGCCCCTCTTTCTTTTAGAAAATAGGACACAAGTGCTTTTTTGTGCATTCAGTTTAAACCCATTTCCATCCGCCGAATTCGATATCTTCTTCAAACCTAATTGGACCTGGCGTTCTCACATGAAGAGGTTACATGATTTAAAACTGACCTGTACATCATCAACATATGTGCAGTAAAACATATTTCGTTGGATAGCAAGGCGCAAGGAGATCATTTTGACTATAAATAGTGGACAACTCAATACACCTCCTTGCGGCACTTCTGTTTCTTGGACAAATGTACGGGACAAAGCAGTGCCCACTCGGACACGGAATGTCTGCCCCGCACACCTAAGTGAGACAAGTCTCGGAGTATGCCAACGCACCACGTTGTGTCATAGGCCTTCTCCACATCGAGGAACACAGAAATAATTGTTTATGAATAAAAGCATCACAAATTTGTGCCTCGATACAGAGAAGGTGGTCAATGGTTGACCTAGCCTCTCGATGCCCACATTGCTATGGGTTGAGTAAGCCATTAGTTTCAAGGAATTGCGTCAGTCACCTATTTATCATTTTCTCAAAGACATTGCAAAGGCAACTAGTTAACGCTATTGGCCTGTAGCTGGACTCTGGAGATGGGTCCTTGCCCTGTTAAAGAATTGGAATAATGATGGCTTCTTTCCAGGTGGAAGAGATCTCGCCGCAAAGCCAAATGACACTGCACAAGGAAAGGAGTGCTTTTTGGATTTCAGGGGGCAGACGTTTCAGCATTTCGTATACTATACGGTCGGAGCCTGGAGCGGTTTCGTTGCCTCGCCACAGTGGTCTAGTGGCTAAAGTACTCGGCTGCTGACCCGCAGGTCGCGGGATCGAATCCCGGCTGCGGCGGCTGCATTTCCGATGGAGGCAGAAGTATTGTAGGGCCATGTGCCCAGATTTGGGTGCACGCTAAAGAACCCCAGGTGGTCGAAATTTCCGGAGCCCATCACTACGGCGTCTCTCATAATCATATGATGGTTTTGGGACGTTAAACCCTACATATGAATCAATCAATCAATCAAACCAAAGCGGTTTTGTTGAAGCAGCTTAACGATGCTTGTAGCTCAGCTAAGACAAATG